TTTTGAACATCATTATTTACTAATAAAAACTATTTAAATTAGAGTGTGTATTTTTCTTTCATATTGCCACACTTGGTAACCGTTTTATAAAAGCAATAGCTCACTTCAGGCCGTGATATATGCTCATTATATCACAGCTAAGGGGGTTGTCGACCCTCCGCTTCGCGTCGGGCCGAACCACGCCCGTTAGCTGTGATATAATGAGCATACCACGGCCTGCTCTATTGCTTAAGTATTTCCCCTGTTTTGTCTGATCTGTTCGTTGAATACATTTCAGGTTTTTGGTAGGGATACCATCTATTGTGGTATTCATGAAGTTATTATAATACTTGATTCAATAGAATACAGTTGTAATACTAATATAAAGCACCCATTTCCTTGCCCTATTTCTGTCAAGCAACCAGTTGAACAGGAAGTATCACCCTACAAAGCTGAAATCTCACTCTCTCTGTGGAAAGTCAGTCTAGCTACTTGATAAGGAGGAAGGAGGAAGGATTGGCTGGCTGATGGTTTAGCCAGAGGCAGAGAAACACAGCTCTGGTTGGCAGGTCATTTTGCAAAGAGGCAGGGCGAGACTTTTGGCATGCGGGGGATTCCACCTGGTAGGAAGGTCCATAAACCAAGCCATATATCTACCATGCTGCAGGAAGATGCCTGCTTGGCAAGATGTTTTTCCAGAATATTACCGCCATGTAAGGCCACTCTGCCTGGTCAGGAGGTCGTTCTTCCAGAGGCAGAGCAACAGGACATGAATACTGATTCTTTTACAGTTTTAGCTAAAGTTTTATTTCCTAAAAAGGGCTTGGAAACCAAAAAGCGGCTAAGCATTAACACTATAGCTGTCTTGACATCACGTTTCTGCCTCACTATAGCCGCGTTCACACCGGAGTACTTTTCCCACTTTAGTTCCGATATAGTTCCGAAACGTCGCGTTTACACCAAAAAGAGCCGGAACTAAAATGAGTTCATGAGAACCTTTTTACCCCCTTTTCCGTCCCTGCTAGAGGGTTATGGCTAGAAAGGATCCGTCTAGTGTAAAACTCTTGCGATAGTTTGCAAGTCACCTGGCTGAATGTTTACGTTTGGCAGGCAGCCTTTCAGTTACGATAGTTAACATCAGTGGGCCACAGCAAATGATGGTGAGAAGCTAAAACCATCTATTAATTATGTCAATGACAGGGAGTGTGATTGTTGAAATAGGGTGTTAGCGATCTTGCTGTTCAAAGAAGAATGACAACACTGTAGATCACCAACACTATGGTTTATTTTTTATTCACAGGCAAGTCAACGTTGT